CGTAGACGAGAATCCCTCAACAAGCACTAGAGCGACGTGGCTAGAGAAGTGCAAGTATCCGAAACTAAAGTGTGCAAACGCGCTGCGTGAAGAGGGGCTGTATCCGTTTCACGTCCAACGTGTACAAGCCCTCCAACCTGACGATTTCCGAAAGAGTGAGGTTTTGTGAGTGGTTGTTGCATCAACATGACAATAATCCGGACTTTTTGAAGTGCATATTGGTGACAGACGAATCTACGTTCAGCGTAATGGGTGAATAACTTTCGCAACACTCATGTTTGATCAGTAGAAAATCCGCACGCTGTCCGTCGGGCACATTTTCAACAAACATTTTGGTGAATGTTGGGCTGGCATGGTGAACGGTATGCTCATGGACCATTTATTCTCCCAAATCGATTGGACGGGATGCAGTACCTAGCCTTTTTACGCAACATGTTGCCTTCCTTGTTAGAAGATGTGCCATTAAGTGTAAGACAATCAATGTGGTTTCTGCGTCTGCTCGGTTAGCGCATCAGCTGATTTCATTTTCTGTTGGAGCGGTATGATTTCGGGGCAGAGACGTACTTAGCCCTTCTCGTCAACTGGAGAGTGAGTATTTTTCCTTTATTTTTTTTAACTTGGTCGCCCTCGTTTCACTACACATTACCTTTGTTATTACAAGGGTAGTTGTTTCTGAAAAGAAAAACCCCAACTTTGCGGACACCCTGTATAAACATACACAGTCAGTGAAGGGCGTTGAGCGTGTATTCTACAGGGGCACATTTTACGTGTATTCCTAATTGGATATAACTTGCCTGGGCCGAATTAAAAATAACCTTAGTCCGAGAAAAAAAAACTTCGCTATTTTTCTATTAATATAATAATTTTTTCCATAACTTAAATGCTAATAAATTGTCCGTTTTAATATAAAAGTGTTTATTTTAACTAATAATACGGTAGAATATGATAGTGAACATTTTTAACAAAAGCCAAATAGATAATACATGACATTATTATATTATGGACCCAAAGTTAAATGCAGCACCAACAACACAAAATCGTTCGACAAAATAAGATAATAAACCATATTTTCAAATAATGTTCAATGATTATTTTGGCACTTTTGTGCTTATCAAAAAAAAAACATTCTAAGCAAAGAAATTTTAGTTCATAGACTTTTGTAGTAGTTGTAACTTGTTTTTTTTTACTTATTGCATCGTGGTTATTTCTATTTCGCTGGAAGCAAACTACGTATATACTTTTTTCCTGCATGAATAAATTTATGTTCTGCGAGTGTGTCATTGGGATCAAGGTTTTGTTTACCTTTTGAAAGTAATTTCAAGCATAATTTTTCCTTGAAGTCTGTTAAACTTATTCTTTTTTGTGCATTTTCATTCTTATTATATAAATAATGGGCGTTTACTATGCTTGTTCCAGTAAGTAACTCAACAGCCACCTGCCTGTACCATTTGATACTCCGTCTGAGGCAGAATAGGATGACAGCTAGTCAGATACATCGATAAAGCTTTTTGCATTATTATAAGCCACAATAGCTTCCAGCTTTTTGTTGGTCTCAGTTCTGCATGAGACTTCAACGAAGTTGAGTTTATGCACATCTGGCTCATCTTTCCATTTGAAAATAATGATGCCGTTTTTCTCTCTCCCTGCAATTTCACCTTTATCCAGTTTAGTGGACAGTATCTCTTTCTGAATAAGTCTACGATTTTTACGTAGTGTTCCCACTAGATACGTTTTCCTGCCTTGTAATTTTTCAGCTAATTCTAGCTGGTGTACCAGTCGGAAGGAATGAACCGCATAACGCGACATTTAGAACAGAACTAACATCTATTACCACATCAACGCTACTGTTATGGACAAGAAATGTCAAGTCTGAAGAGTGTATCCAGTCCTATACACGCGACGGACAACAGAAATGTTCTTCCAGGCCACGTGTATTTTTTGCACACTAGTCAAATTACAAAAAATACAATGAAATTATATAGATGATGTATCTAAGGTGTGTTGACAAACCATTTCAAATACATTTTCATAAAAAAACTAGTGTGACGCACCGAACCTATCCGGTGATTTTGGTGTGGCAGTCAAAATGTTAAAAAAATATCTCTGATATATTACAAAATATACAAATGGGTATTTGAAATCTTCTTAGCAAGAAACAAATAATTTTCAACAGAAACTATACACCTATACATCTTTTAGTATAGAGTAGGTTAATAGGTACACAAATGTTATCTTTTAGTATAGAGTAGGTTAATAGGTACACAAATACAGGGTGACTTTGAAGTTGAGTTATTAATTTTCAGATAATGATTGTAGAAGGAAGATAAACCAAAATATGTGTGTAAAAATAAAAAAAAATAAAAAAAATGTTACCTTTTTTATAAAGTATCCTCCCAACAAGTATTTCAGTGCGGACCTGTATTTGATCGTGCGGTCTTGGAGCACCGGCATGCCATCCCCTGTGAGGTCTTAAGTCACCTGATTCACGAGCCCTTTGTACAACATTAACAAAGGCACGAGGGGTTGGTTGCACTCGATTGGGAAACCGATCCGTTAAATCCGTGATGCCGCGTAAATAAGAATCATGTCCACAAGTTCAGCATTTTCGTAAACATGTGCCATTTTTGATTTCGTTTGAGCCACGCAACAGACACCACTATTCACTCACGCGTTACCGACTGACACTGACTGTATACAACTGAATAAAATAATTGTAAAAACATCGTTCCAAATTCTTTCGCTTTTTTGTTTCCGATGCGATGAACCGATAGGCGGATAATATCCGTTGTTGCCAAACACGAGCACATAATATTATTATTGAGACAGGGCGGTACTCAAACTTCCAAAGGGCTATAACTTTGTTACTTTAATTTTACCCAGAAAAATGGTAAAGGAAAAAACATTTCTTTTGATCAGATCTACTCACTGTTAAAATAAATGACTCAACTTCGAAGTCACCCTGTATATTCCATGGAACAAAATAAAATTCTGAGGAATAATTGTATCTTCTGCATACGTCCATTTTCTCCAAAAAGTGTTCAAGTATCAAAACGGTGCAGCTTTTACAAATATAATAAAACAAAAAACAGAATCAAATCATATCAGTGGTAGTAGTTAAAATGATCTTTATGCAATTCACGCACTTTTGTATTGACTTGATTCTTCACGACCGGTCCACTGATCAACTCTATCTCAATCCATAGTCTGGTGTTTTATTGTTCTGTCGCAGCGTAGATAGAATTTGGACTGTGGAGTAAAGTCATCCAGTAATCTGGTGAGGCTCATGCCGTTGCTGTTGTTATCACGAAAGTTCTCGGTCAGTTCCTCTCTGACTGCAAGATATTTATCGTAATTGACGAGTTCTCCTCTCCATCCCACAATGTCAAGGCGGTGCGCCGCAGGGATGGGACTTGACATTGTTCTCTACATATCAATTAACTCCTTTCCTATTCGTTCCAAGCGATCTACAGCTTTGATACAGCCACATCCAACAATCTGGTCCAGTTAATGTTTAGAAAACACGGAACTGTACCGTGACTAACAAGACACTACTTAGTGCTCATCTGCTTTGGGCGATTTCTTCCAAAGAGCCGTTCATTTTGATTGTTCGGAGTCCAGATCACCGAGGACTTGATCTGCCACGGACACATCCCATAAATCGAGGCAGCTGCTGGGAAAATGCTAAGAAATGGATGAGAAGTACCATTTTCCATTAACAATTCGGTTATCGACGTCTATAGTCGAAAATTATAATTTTTAATCTCATTTATAGGGATTATATAAGAATCAAGTTCAATATTTTTGTGTACAAGGCCCAGATAAGACCTAGTCTCGAATACTTCGCACATGTTTAGGGTACTGCCGCCCCAGCTGCATTACGGATGTTCGAAGTTGTCCGACCGATCTATAACACTCCTCTAACGGACAGGTCCGGGACCCTTTGCACCGATCTGCTTTGCTCCTCAGAGTTCTCAGACCTGCCAGACTGTGGCCTCGCATTCTAACCATCCCAACTCCGTACGATACGACCGCTACTTTTACCTGGCTGCTGAAATTGTTGAACAATTTGCTCCAAAAATCGAGTCAATAAGGTGAGCTTCGGTTCCTCATAGCATTCCCAGCGCCCCGGTATTTAGGCATCTGCCTTCGCGGCTGTTTCGGTGTAAAAGAGGATGTGTGGTATCAGAGGGGCCTAAGCAATGTTATATTGTAGTATATGTATTTTAGCTATGCCCGATCTAAATTTTGGGCATTAGGTCTTTTAAAATTAAACTCCATGAAGGCTTAATCGTAAATTAGTTTTGTTCTCGGTGCGAGCAGCGGAGTGGAAGGTTTGTATATTTGCTCGACTGTAATCCTCTGCTTCATGCAACAAAGGGCTGTTGTGCGATTCAGCTCACCACTGTGCCATAACTATGGTTGTAGTGGTTTTATTATTCTTTCATGCTGCAGATTCCCGCCAGAGCATCGAAGAACTCTTATAGTTCGTATGCGAGTTACGCGTCTTATCGACGGTACCTCGCTGCCTGGAAGGTCTGTGAGTTTCCTTGACTGTGTAATCCTCTGCTTCATGCAACAAAGGGCCGTTGTGCGATTCAGCTCACCACTGTGCCATAACTATGGTTGAAGTGGGTTATATTATTCTTTCATCCTGCAGATTCCCGTCGTAGCGTCGAAGAACTCTTGTAGTTTGTATGCGAGGTACGCGTCTTATCGACGGTAAGCCAAATGTTCCGGGCTATGCCTTAGCCGGTTGAAATTCAATGCTCCACCCGTCGCACGTGCAGGTCACAATAGTCCCAATTTGCTCAAACTTTGCAGTAATCCCATTGCCGGATCGTTTCGCCCGACCGTTTGACCCAAATACGGTATCTGATTGATTTTTAGATAAACACGACCGCCGATCTTCTCACGTAAGGTCAAAAGTTTATGCAGGGCGATTGGGTTTATATCAAGGAGTAATTATCAGATTTCAGAGTTAATAATATTCCACCGGAATGAAGGTACCTTTGATCCGTTACTCTAGTTAAGTGAAGTTCGGAATTAACAAGAGCCGTTGTTGCATAAGCAAGATTCGTAATACCTCGATGTCGATTTTATACACTACTTTTGTGGTGGCATTCCCACAGCCTCTTAAAGCCAAACATATATACAGCGTGTTTCAGAACCATGAAATCAAACTTGTAGGGGTCATTCAGTGTAACAGTAGAAGACATTTGAGTATAGGGGCCCATATCCGGCGCTTGTGTGTTGTTATCTTTAAAAACGATAACAGAGATTGTTTTTTGTAGCTGCATTCCATATCGCCTTAGTCATGCTATCGTATTTGTGAAGTTTGCAAGAATTTAACAAAAATTAATTGTTGCTAATGGAAAACTCTACCAACCAAGAATTTTCAGATATGCATTTGGCATACGGAGCAACCAGCTGCAATGCACGAGCAGTAGCTTGGGTGTATCAAGAACGTTATCCCGAACGACAGCATCCGGAATACAAAAAGTTTATTACTATTCATCGGCGGCTCTCCAATACAGGCATGTTTAAAACCAACACGCATGATACTGGTGTTGTTCGAACCGCAAGAACGGTCGAATTTGAAGAAGAGGGTCCTTCAGCGAGTTGCCGACGAACCATCAAGTAGCACACTTCACACTTCTAAGGATATGAACACGAGTAACACTTCCATCTGGCGAGTATTACACGAGCATCATTTTTATCCTTACCACTGCCCGAAAGTTCAAGGATCGGCATCAGCCGATTATCCTAGAGTTCAATTTTGTCAATGGCTTCTTCATCAAATCGCTGCACAACCAAATTTTTTACGCTATGTTTTATGGACCGATGAAGCCGCTTTCACAAAAGACTGTATTTTTACTAGTAGGAATAGCCACGTTTGGGACAAAAAAATCCCCATGCAATTTGTCCTAGAAAACATCAGCAACGTTGGTCTGTCAACGTATGGGCAGGCATTGTTGATGATTATTTGATTGGGCCATACCTTCTACCGGAACAGTAAACAGGACATATTACCGGCGTTTCTTGGAGGAAGTTCTTCCAGAAGTTCTCGAAAATAGTCCATTGAATGTTCGACAGCAAATGTGGTTTCAGCATGATGGAGCGCCGGCTCACCTTGCTGACAAGTACGTGAGTATTTGACTCAGCGGTTTGGGCACCATTGAATTGCCAGAGGTGGAGCAGTTTCTGGCCTCCTAGGTCACCCGATTTAACGTCGCTAGATTTTTCCTGTGGGGACATGTAAAGTCTTTGATTTACTAAACTCCAGTAGAGATAGAGCAAGACTTAATTGGACGAATTACAGCAGCATTTCAAATCATTCGAAACGAGTATCAAATTTTTAGTCAAGTCCGCCGAAATCATTTGCGACGTTTAAGTCGGTGTATTCAGGTTGGAGAACGACATTTTGAACATCGTTGTGTTGATATCACGTACAAAAGGCAAAAATTAAACGCACTAAATCCTATTTAGGCAATTCATAGTCTTTCTAAATTTTAACGCGTCTTAGGGCCGTAGTGCCTTGGTTCCAAACACCCTGTATCTATAATTTTTCACGTAATAGGGCGCTGGAACCAGCGTCAGACACGAGCATTTATAATTTCTCAGATAGCACAGGCACGTGAAAATGACGTCCTAATTTCACATACCGATGACGTCATACGGCAGATGTCAAAATACGTCATCTGCTGGACGAAAAGATGACGTCTATAAATTATAAAGATTAACCAGTTTTAGCTTCTTAAAAAAATTATCTGTAGTATTACAAACGGAGCACAGTGTCTAGGTCCTGC